AACTTTAATCAATTTGATGCGAGCGCGGAATAATGGGACTCTTGAGTCCAAGTTGAGTGAGAACGAGGTCTTGAACTCTATATGTTTTGGCCCTTTAGCTCTTTTTAAATTGGCCCTTAGGCTCTTATATACAGGCCCTTAGGCTCTTACACATCGGCCCTTAGGCTCTTTAGGTTGGGCCAATTAGGCCTCTAGAGTGGCTATATAATTTTTTCCTCTTTTCGGCTAAAAGACTTAGTGAAAATTTTTGTATGCCTTATCATGTGTTTTTTGTACCTGTTGGGTTTTTTGAGGGTTCGACGTATAGGAACCTTATTAGTAACTTGTTTGTGTAATGATAATCGAATACCTTTTAAGGTTTTTCTGAAGGCTGATGTTATCGAAGACTCTAAATCATTCGAGGGTTGATTTTATCGAAGCTCTTTATTTGTCGGTTTTGCCAAGGGTAGCCTAGTTTAACCAGTTTTTTTAAAGTGTTTGATGTCTTTTAATTTATGGCAGAAGTAGGACGTCTCTGAGCTGCATTATTTTTGCCGTAGCCTTTTTATATGACCTTAGTCTTTAATATGGCCATAGCCTTCGGGTATGTCACTTGGACTTGTTTCCCGATAACCTTTCGAACTTGTCCAAAAAGTTAGTCCCCGAGTATATTGGCCTTGGCCTTTGTTTCGAGGGGATGCCTCTTTGAGGTCTTAAGAGTCCAAATTTTTGATGACTCGGATGTGCTGACTGTCAATGACAGTCCCCGAGTATTCTGGGGTGTATTTACATTCTGGCTCTTGAGCCGTTTACCGTAGGGTTATAAGTGTAGAACTTCGTATAATAGTAGACTTCTTTTGAAATACAAAGTGTTTTTGATATAAACAGAATGCTTCTTCAAGTAATTGATACATGCGTACATGTGTTGCCATCGAGGCTCGACTATTCTATATTTTCAATGACTCGGATGTGCTGACTGTTAATGACAGTCCTCGAGTATTCGGGGGTGTATTTGCGTTCAGGCTATTGAGCTATTTCCCGTATGGTTATAAGTGTAAAGCTTCGTATAATAGTATACTTCTTTTGAAAGACAAAGTGTTTTTGATATAAACATAATGCTTCTTCAAGTAATTGATACATGTGTATATGTTTTGTTGTTGAGGCTCGACTATTCTATATGGACACGGTTCATCCGACCGTTAGGCCCATTACAAAGTTCTCTTATCGAGGCCCTCTTTGGCATGAAGGAAAGTATTTTATTTTAAAATATAACCTCCGAGGGTGATGCCCCCCAGTATTCGAGGTTGATTGAAAAGAAGCCTTAGATACTATTGAGTTCTCCTTAGGTAGCATATAGTTGTTGCCTCGTTAAAAAACTTGCCAGTAAAACCCATTTGGAACAAAATCCGATCTAAGGGAAAAAGAGTTCTACACATGCTTTAAAACCTAAGGCCTTCGTGTAAAAAGGGGTGCCTTCGAAATTATATGCCTTCAATCGAAAATCTGCAATGAGTTAGTTTTAAACTCAAATGGACAAAAGGATAAAGTCATACCTTAGCAGTAGTATCATTTGAGCAATGATATGTTCCAATTGTTTGACAGTTGCTCACCTTCCATTGTGCTAAGTTTGTAAGATCCTTTACAGACAACTCCGAGGACTTAGTACGGTCCTTCCTAATTCGGGCCCAGTTTCCTTTTATTAAGGTCTCGAGTATTGAGGGTGACCTTTCGTAGAACTAAGTCCCCGATTCCAAAGTGTCATAGGTTGGTCCTTATATTGTAATATCTTTCGATTCTTTGCTTCTGCACGACCATCCGAACAAACACTGCCTCACATTTTTCATCTAATAACCCGAGGCTAGCATTCATAGCCTCGTGATTTGATTTCTCCAATCCATGTCGAAACATGCCGCTGGGTTCTCTGATCTCGACAAGGATTAGGGCCTCAGAGCCATATACTAAAGAGAACGAAGTAGCCCCCATGATAGACTTCGATGTTGTTCGATATGCCCAAAGGACCTCAGGTAGAACTTCTCTCCATTTTCCTTCACATCGTCTAACCTTTTTTCAGGTTTTGAATGATAGTATTGTTTATTGACTCAGCTTGTCCATTTCCAGTTGGGTGATATGGTGTTGATAATATCCTCTTTATTTTATGTGCCTCGAGGAACTCTGTCACCTTGCTGTCGATGAATTATTTTCTATTGTCACATACAATCTCGGCAGGTATTTAGCTTTACCTGGGGCCGTTGGTAGAAGGCCAACTATATCTATTCCCATTTCATAAAAGGCCACAGGGATAGGATCGAATTGAGTTGTTCTCCGAGCTGATGGATCATCGGTGCGAATCGTTTACACTTATAACATTTTTTGACAAATTCCTTAGTATCCTTTTCCATGCTATCCCAGTAATACCCTGCGTTGATAATTTTGAGAACCAAAGACTCGGCGCCGGAGGGATTTCCACAAGTATCTTCGTGGACCTCTCGTAACACATAATTGGTGTCCCCTCAGCCCTAAACATATTTCTAATGGCCTATCTAACGTTCTCTTGTACAATGTTCTATTTTCCTCAAATGCAAACCTAGCAGCCTTGGTTCGTAAGGCCATCGTTTCTTTATGATCTGATGGGAGTTTACCATCTTTCAAATAATCGATGTACTTATTCCTCTAGCCCCAAGTTAAACTTGTCGAATTTATCTCGGCATGTCCCTCTTCAACCACAGACCTCGATAATTGGACGACAGTCCCCGAGACGGTATCATATTCTTCAACCGAGGATCCCAAATTTTCAAGTACATCGGCCTCACTGTTTTGCTCTTGAGGCACATAATCCAAGGTACATTTCTTGAAGCAATGCAATGTTACCTGTAGTTTATCTAAGTATCATTGCATCCTATCCTCTCGAAGTTCAAAACTTTTGTTTACTTAGTTTACCACCAACAGTGAATCGCACTTGGCTTTGATGACTTCTGCTCCCAAGCCCTTGGCTAGCTCGAGACCTACAATCATGGACTCATACTCGGCCTCATTATTAGTCAACCTAGAATTTTTGATACATTTTCTAATGGTACTGCCTGTAGGTGGTTTTAAGACAATTCCAAGCTCGAACCCCTTCACATTCGAAGCACCGTCTGTGAAAAGGGTCCATACCCCCGATGATGTACCCGAACTCAATAGGAGTTCTTTTTCCACCCCAGGTACGAGGGTCGGCGTAAAATAGTCCATGAAGCCAGCTAGAACTTGAGACTTAATGGACATTTGGGGTTGATATTCAATATCGTACCCGCTAAGTTCAACGACCTATTTGGCCAGCCAGCCCGATAGCTCGAGCTTATGCAAAACATTTCGAAGGGGGTATGTGGTTAATGATGACATTGAAAATATGGCTATAGTTTTCTAGATGCGCTTATCAATGCAAGTGCTAATTTTTCTAAGTGAGGGTATCTGGTTTCAACATCTCCTAGAGTTCGGCTTACACAATAAATAGGAAATTGCATACCTTACTCTTCTCGAACTAGTACTCCACTTACCGCTATCACAGATACTGCCAAATATAGGTAAAGTTTTTCATCTACCTTCGGGGTGTGAAGCAAAGGCGGGCTATATCTTTAATTATTCTAAGACTTGCTGATATTCCAGGGTCCATGCGAAGTCCTTTTTCTTTTTGAGAAAGGAAAAGAACCAGTGACTCCGATCCAATGACCTCAAAATGAATCGGCCCAGACTAACTATTCAACCTATTAACCTTTGCACGACCTTCACACTATCCACGATTTTGATATCCTCGATGGACTTGATCTTACGGGGTTAATTTCAATGCCCCAATTCAACACCATGAAGCTGAGGAACTTACTCGAGCCGACTCTGAAGGCATATTTTTCCGAGTTAAGCTTCATGTTGTATTTTTTCAAAATTTTGAATGTTTCCTACAAATGAGTCAAATGGTCCTCTACGCGCAGGGACTTAACCAATACATCATCAATGTAAACTTCCATTGTTTTACCTATTTAATCTTCGAACATTTTGTTAACTAGGCACTGGTATGTAACTCCTGCATTGTTTAGCCCAAAGGGCATTACGTTGTAACAATAAGTTCCAAATTTAGTAATAAACGAAGTCTTTTTCTTGTGCTCTAGGTTCATCTGAATTTGATGTACCCAGAGTAGGCGTAGAGAAAGGTTAGGATCTCGTGTCCGGCCGTAGCATCGATCATACGATCGATGTTGGGCAGTTGGAAAGAATCTTTCGGGCATGCTTTGTTCAAGTCCTTATAGTCTACGCACATTCTAAGCTTGTTTCCTTTTTTAGGAACTACAACTACGTTGGCTAACCACTTGTGGTATTTTGCCTCCTGAATAGACCCCATTTTCAGAAATTTAGTTACCTCGTCCTTTATGAATGCATGCTTCACCTCGGACTTGGGCTTTCTCTTTTGCTTCACCAGTTTGAACCTGGGGTCGGTGCTTAGCTGGTGTGTTGTTATTTCCGGTGGAATTCCTGTCATATCTAAATGGGACCAAGCAAAGCAATCCATATTATCAATAAGAAATTGAATGAGTTTTTTCCTGAGTTGGGGGTTAATCCCGTTCCTAGGTATACCTTTCTTTCGGGCATATATTTGACCAGTGTGACCTGCTCCAGTTCCTCGATCATTTAACTTAGTTGCATCAGACTCTTCGGGAACGACGAATGTTCTAGGAGTTAGGAAATCCTCATCTTCGTCTTCGATTACCTGTTGCTCCGATTCCGTCGAGGCTGGAGATGATGATTGCTATTTGGCTGCCTGTTTATCTTCGATGCTTGATTTCGCCAAGGTCGAAGGCTTTGGTATTGGTACCATTTCCTCAATTTCAAACATCTCATTTGCAGCATGTTGCTCTCCATAGACTGTTTTCACTCCTTCCTCTGTTAGGAACTTCATCTTCTAGTGAAGAGTTGGAGGCACTGCCCTCATGTTATGTATCCGTGGTCTCCCAAGGAGTGCGTTATACCTCATGTCACCTTGAATGACATGGAATTTAGTATCTTGCACAGTCCTGGCTACATTTACTAGCAGGATAATCTCGCCCTTTGTTGTTTCGCTTGCCATGTTGAAGCCATTTATAACCCGGGATGCAGGTACAATCTGATCTTGCAGGCAGAGCTGTTCTACGACTCTCAATTTGATTATGTTTGCGAAGCTACATGAATCCACTAAAACACATTTAACTTGAATTTTACTTAAAAAGATAGAAATTACCAAGGCATCGTTGTGTGGCTAAGATATGCCTTCTACTTCTTCGTCATAGAACGACAAGGCATCCTCGAGCACATAGCTTCTAGACCATTTTTCCCTGGTGATTGATACCTTGGTGCATTTAAATATAAGTCGTTGAGGGACATGGACTCTGCCAATGCTCATATGGATTGCATGTTGCAGTTCTTCTTGCTTATTTTTTCTTGCATCTCTATCCCTGAAGTGGTTTTTGGCTCAATAACTGAGGAATTCTCGAAGGTGACCTCGTTGAATAACTGGGCTACCTCCTCCCTTAGTTGCTTACAGCCTTCGGATTTATGGCCATGTGTGCCATGATACTTGTACATTAAGTTTGGATTCCTTTGAGAGGGATCTGTTTGTATAGGCCTAGGCCACCTAGTGTCTTTGATCCTTCTAATAGCTGACACGATCCCTGATGCATCTACACTGAAGTTATACTCTGACAATCGAGGTGCCTACACGGGGTCAATATGCTTATCAAATCCATTCTTACTCACGAGTCCCCAAGAACTTTGACCTCGATCATTTCTCCGATCTTTTCGAGGAGTGTTACGACTTGAGCCGTTGTTCCTCCTATCGACATATGTCTGATACCATTCTTTGTTAAATCGTGATTCCCTGTCTGTATCCCTTGGGGGCTTAGCCATCAGTATGTTAGGATGAACTGAGCTTGAGGGGGCTCCCAACTGGTCGTCCTCAACCCTAATCTTAGACTGGTAACGATTATGCACATCTGACCATGTCACAACTGGATACTCGATCAAGTTTTACTTTAATTGTCGAGATGCTATCGAACTCTGTTCGTTCAAACTCTATATAAAGGCCTGCACTGCCCAGTTATTGGAGACCGGTGGTAATTTCATTCTCTCCATCTGAAACCTAGACATAAACTCCCTCAACATCTCGTCATTCCTTTGTTTTATCTTGAAGACGTCCGATTTACTCGTTGCCACCTTTATGGCCCCGGTGTGTGCTTTCACGAAGGCGTCTGCTAACATAGCAAACAAATCAACAGAATTAGGAGGCAAGTTGTGGTACCAAATCATAGCTCCTTTCCACAGTGTTTCTTCAAACGTTTTCAACAAAACTGATTCGATCTCATAATCATTCAAGTCATTTCCTTTTATCTCGCAAGTGTATGAAGTAATATGCTTGTTAGGGTCGGTTGTCCCATTGTATTTGGGTATATCGGTCATGCGAAACTTCTAGGGAATGGGCATCGGAGCTACACTCGTAGGTAATGGTTTTTATATGAACTTTTTGGCATCTAAACCTTTCAAGACCGGAGGTGCCCTTGGTATTTTATCAACACAGGAGTTATAAGTCTCTACCTTTTTGTCATTGTTTTCAATCTTCTTTTCCTCGGACTTGATCCTCTTGGTGAGCTCATTAAGCATTCTCATAATGGTGGGGTCAGTTCCCGAGTCATTTTTGTTCGATCTCTCTTGCGCTGGTTCAGCACGCCGAGTGTTTTCTGGTTCAGCTATACTCAGAGTCTTATTCTGACTTTGAAGTTGAGCGATGGCGATCTATTGAGCCTACAACATCTCGAATATCACTTGGAGGCTGATTCCCCCATCTCCCATTCCTTGTGCTTCTTGGTCACCAAATCGAGCCTCCCTGCGTATATTCCCTCCGGGGTCTGTGCCTAAATCTGTGTTTAGAGCATTATGTGAACTAACATCAACTAGTTCCATATTTGGTACTCTCTCAGGGTCTATTGGTGGTACACCGACCCCTATGCTGTTGTTTTCTCCAAGACCTTCATTGTCATGAATATATGTGCTTTGTGAGATAGACATATTTCGCCCTGAGAATAAAAAATTCTTGATAAGAAAATGGGTGAAAGTAAAGTGTTATGAGAATTAGTAATGAAATAATCACTATTATCTTTATCCGCACGGTGGGCGCCAAACTGTTTACCTCGAAAATATGAGTAACAATTAAATTTGATTAGTGGTTTTAAAGATATGTGATTTAGTTCAATACCAATTGATAATCAAGAAATATAAAGTAGGCATGAAAGAAATAAGTGAATCAAACCAATGTTACTCAGCAGTAGTGACCTCGAGCTTAGTGACCTCGAGATGGGTTTAGAACAATAAGAACAATTAAGCAAGAAAAGTAAAGTAAGAGCAGTAGAGCTAAATGACAATTCTGATGAACAGTAGGCGAAAAAGCAGAGAGTATATTCTTTGCTCAATGATTAGATGATCTTACAAAATGATTGGGGTCCCCTTTATATAATAGGGGAACCCTAAATAAGGTATATTTCTATTTACAGTAAGGAATATTCTTGATATAGTTGTCTAACCGCCTAGTACAAAATCGTACAATCCTTTTCTGGGATTTGCACCGTGATATTAGGGACATGGCAGGAATCCAGCTCATTCTGTTACAAATCCATAACGGTACAATTTTGGGGTCGAGCATACCGAACTTCAGTATTCCTTGCACTCCTATCTTCGGGCATTGCATTCCATCCTTGAGCTCTGATCTAGTCCGTCGACCTCGAACTTGAGCTTACTTGAACTCGGACCTAAGGCGATCCCTCGAGCTCGGGAAATCGAAGGCGTATGATTTTGACCGCATATAGTTATGACTACTACTCACTATGAAAAAGGAGTTCAGAACCAAAGTGTGATATTTTTTGACTCAAAGCACAAAAATAAGTGAAAAAACAACCTGTGAACATTTCATGTATAGCGCATGGATGGCATGCGCTATACCTTAATGACACGTTTGTTCGTTAAGTTATAGCGTATACAATCAATGAGCTATACCTGAGTTTTAAATGTCCGCGAAAGTATAGCTATAGCACATATATGGGATGCGCTATACCTGAGGTTGAAAAAACAGGTAGGTATTGCGCATCACATATATATGCTATACCTATATTAAAAAGGACCTACTCTTTTTCCTCGTGACAGAACGTTAAAAAACGCCCCCATCCATTTTTAAAGCTTAAAGCTCCATTGGAGCTCACCCATCCTTAAAAAATCGTGTCCCCTCATTATTTTAGCGAGCAAACACCCGATCCAAGGTGTTCTCCTATAGTGGATCTCTTCTATTGCTCGTCTCGGTGGTCAAATCATCAATTTTTCTCAATTCAAAAAACTCTAAAACGTGGTATTCTGACTCATTTTTATAGTAAAACTCATGTATATAATTTATTAATTAGTTGTTTTACTGTGTTGTATGCTTTTTGTGATCGTTTTTTGATATAGTTATTTTTTTATTTTTATCCGGATTAGTTTATTTATGTGCCAAAAATTGTGAAAATTGTATATTGTTCTTTTGTTGAATAATTAGTCATATATGTGACTTTATTATTAGTTAGTGCCCTTTATTGTTATGTTGTGCCTTTTACTGTTATGTAGTGCCCTTCAGCCTAGTAAAACTGATAATAAAGTTTAGTTTATATTAGTTGATGTTGTTTATGGCTATTTAGAGTAGTGTGACTTTAGTGCTCTTTAGTCTAGTATAAAAACTATGTGCTCTCATTAACTAACCCGGTTAGAATACTCCATTATGGATTAGATTTATTACTACATAACAATCAAATATTAGATATGAATCATAAAATAATTAGTTGACAGTACAAAAGAGCCGCTACCGAATTTTTGGGTAAAATATAAAAGCTAACAAATAAATCATTGCAAATGAAATAAATTGAATATTATTTAGTATCAAGTTTGTAGTTTTTTTATATGAATAATTATTAAATATATCTGATTAATTATGAAAATTAAATATTTAACTCTCTTTTAACCCAAAAAATCTGAAAAAGATGCAAGTTAAAAGAAAACCCTACCGAATTTTACTCAAAAAGTGTAAGAAACTAATATATAAAATATTAATATAGAAAATTTATCAAATTAAGTATTTTTTTATATGAATAATTATTCAATATATCTGTAACGACCCGATCGGTCGTATTGAGCTTTTGCACTTTGCTCGCCAGTTCTCGGGCATGACTAGACCCGTGCGAGGTATTATGAATTACGTAAATCATTGGCTTTGATTTTTAGGGTAATCGGAAAGAATTTTGAAGAACAGTTCTCGGTTCGAAGATTGAAATTTAAAAGGTTTGACCAAGATTGGACTTGTTAGCAGATGATCTCGGATTGGAATTTCTATGATTTGGTTAGCTCTGTTAGGTGATTTGGGACTTAGGAGCATAGTCGGAATGTGTTTTGGAGGTTCGCGGACGGTTTATGCTTGAATTGGCGAAATTGAGATTTTGGTGTTTTCCGGTTGGTAGGTGAGATTTTTATATATGGGTCGGAATGAAATTTCGGAAGTTGGAGTAGGTCCGTTGTGTCATTTTTGATTTGTGTACAAAATTTCAGGTCATTCGGACGAGGTTTGATAGACTTTTTCATCAAAAGCAAAATTTGGATGTTTTTGGAATTCTTAGGCTTGAATCCGATGTGATTTTGGTATTTTGATGTTGTTTTGAGCATTACGAAGGTTGTAACAAGTTAGAATGAGGTTATGGGATATGTTTGCATGTGTGGTTGAAGTCCCTAGGGCCTCGGGTGAGTTTCGGGTGGTTAACAGATCAAATTTTGGACATTGGGCTTAGCAGTTTTGCTGGTTTTTGTTGCAAACATTTTTGTTCATCGCGTTCGCGGAGGTGCATCGTGTTCGCGAAGGGTATTTGGTGTGATGATAAATTTCGGTCTACGCATTCACGAGGGAAGATACGCGTTCGCGAAGGGGAACTGGAGGCAAGGGAGGATTTGTGCTCCGCGTTCGCGAAGTGGGATCGCGATCTCGAAGGTCCGTGCAGTGGTGCATCATGTTCGTTAGATGGTCCTCGCGTCCACGTAGGAGGATCCTTGGTCAGTAGCAAATTGTGCTACGCAAGCGCGAGTGTGTGTCCGCATTCGCGAAGGGTTTAACCTGGGCAGTGTAAAATAGCCAATCCGCGACCCTTCTTCATTTTGTCAATATTTTTGAACGGGATTGAAGCTTTTGAGAAGGATTCTTGAGGAAACCAAAGGGTAATCTCTTGGAGGTAATATTCTTGACTTCATAACTCGTTTATATGTGATTAAATGCATGATTAGTGGTGAAATTTTGGGAAATATCAGTGCAAAATGGGTAATTAGGGCTTGCGATTAAGAGACCTTAAAATGGGTATTTTAGGGGTCAATTGAACTCCGATTTTAGTGTTCTTGATATGTATAGACTCGTGAGAGGATGAAGATTCTATTGATGTGATTTTGATCGGATTCCGAGACATGGGCCCGTGGGCCGGGTTTGAGCAAATTCGGGATTTTTGATGTAAATTGGATATTTTCGAGTGGGCTTTGTTCTCTTAGAATATTTTAATGGTTATGTGCTAATTTTTATTAGATTTCGAGCATCCGGAGGTCGATTCGATAGGGCAAAAGCATCGCGGACTAGAGTTTGGAACGGATCGAGGTGAGTAATGATTGTAAATGTTGTCTTGAGGGTATGAAACCCCGGATTTGGACATCGTTGTGCTATATTGAGGTGGCGCACATGCTAGATGACGAGCGTGGGGTCGTGCACTATTAGGGATTGTGATTTAGTCCATCCCGAATGACTGTTTTACCGCGTATTTGATTGAAAACTATTTTCTATCATCATGTTTTAGGCTGAATGCCATATTTAGGCATCGTGCCAACTATTTGGACCCTTAGGGAATCTTTACTGATATTTGCTCACTGTTTTGACCTTATACTTGTACTCAGTCATGCTATATTCTACGGTTTTCATAACTCAGCCATGTTTACTATGTTTTAAACATTAAATGATAGTTTAAATGATAAATTGGGCCGAGCATCATGTTTTACTGTTGCCGGGTGGCTTATGAGATTCTGACTGAGTAAGGTTGAGGGCCTATGTTCTGAGGATACACTGATTATGATTATGAGGCCAAGGGACTGAGTTGTACGCCGCGAGGTGGCTTGATATGAGGCTGAGAGCCTATTGATTATGCCACGAGATGGCTTGATATTGCACCCCTCCAGGAGTTTGCACACCCCTAGTGAGTACGGGTACCCATTGTGATATGAGATATAGCCCGAGGGGCTCGTATTGTTCCATGTGTTTCCCGAGAGGCTGATTCTGTTGGTATTGTGCCTGCGGGGCAGTCATTTATGTGTTTATATTTTCTAGCGGCCCGTCATTTACTTGCTTAACTGTTAAAAATGTATTTTAA